ATTCCCTGAGAGTCGGACAATCTTGCTTTCCGACAGAATCTTACGTCAATTATCCCTTATATCTTTCCGCGTTATCCGAAGTTATATCAAGCTGTAACCGCAAGCAAACCGGGCATGCTACCGGGCTTGATCCCGTGGCAACCAGAGTGAGAAGAAGCAGTCTGCGGAAGGGCGGTTGCATAAAGCACCAGGCAGAATGAGAGAGACTACTGCGGTATATGATGATTTATTTTTTGCAGCTAGTAATGCTAATTCATACGATGTCTCTAATGCCACCTTTGATGATTGTGTAAAATTATGTATTACATTTGAAGTTTTGCGTACATTTTCTGCTTTGCGTTCGAAAAATTCAGCTGGCTTGTCCTTAAACTCACCGTGATTGGTCACTAAGTGCCAGTGAAGTAGAGAGGGTTTCATCACGGAGAGTGGAAGAGGTGGATCACACAGATTTGAAACAAACCCATATTTAATGCAGTATTCATTGTAATACCTGCATTTCACTTTGTCCGCTTTCACATTTCTTTTTTGTCTTTTACGCTTACTTGTAGATGGTTCAACACTGCTCACACTAACATCACAAGTTGGAACAGAAACTATCGCACTTTTCAGTTTTTGTGACTCAACACTATCGTCAATTTCACGCTTCCTTTTTATATTAAATTTATCCATGTTGCAATACGGAAAATTAAAATAATGATTACTGCCGTGGTTTCTAGATGGAACTGAGTGAATGACGACTAATATGCACTTATAATTAATCCGCGTGTTAACAAGTAAACAAACCGAACCTGTATTTCACAACAATGACCACACACTAGGGTTTGCTGTTTTTTTGAATAAATTTGTAAAATTATAAAACCTGTTTTTAAAATTTAAAAAACCGGTTTTATGTACTAGAATTAATATATAAAAATTAATTAATTAAAAACATTAACATTTTGACTTGAAATCGCCTCGGGCACAAGCATATTGTAATAAAACATCTTCATGAGTCAGGCTGAAATTAGTTCCAATAAATGCTTTAGAATTACGAATTCAAGAAAGAAGACAAGTTGGATTGGTAACACTTTTGCTATATTTTCAAAATCCACAAAACATTTATACAAAGTGTATTTCAACTAGTTTCGAAACTCGATATCAGAAATAAGTACCACTCTCCTTAATGACAAGAAACATCATCATTAAATATTAACATTAGCTTCTATATACGAACCGCCTAACAACTCTTTGTTTACAAAGTTAAGGCGTTTCTAGGCAACACTTGTCATGCGCAGAAGACAAAAAAAGTTAGGATATTATTCCTTTTTAAAATATCGTAGTTACTTAGTCTGTGGTCGTGAAGTGGGAATGGATAGTAATTGAGCTGTCTTTATTGTCACTCTGCATTCGTAAGTAACAAAGGGTTGCCTTAATAACGTCAAAAAGCAAAGAGCAAACGAACCTTATGAGATCTGACGTTCTCATGGAGGTGAAATTGGGTTTTTTCTGTGTTTTTATGATGTTTGGGTTTTTAATTTTTCTTCTGTTCAGACCTTAAAAATTTTGAATTTCACGCTGCTAACAAGCCCCTCCCCCATTCGATTTTTGTGACGCATGATTTACAAATACCATTTGATGCTGCCAGTGGACGAATTATATGAATTGCTTGTTTCAGATGTGAGTGGGAGATTGTCAAGTGTAGTAGGCATGGCAGGACAGGACAGTCTCAACATAAGTGATGTCAGTAAGTGGACGATTCTCTGTTTGTTGATGGCAGTTGTTGGTATCAGTTTTGTCTAAATTCTATTATTACTCATTGGCAGACATAAGAAAGAAATTTAGTGCAGTCTTTACATCAAAGTCTGTGAAGTTAGTGAGTTGTTCTGCTACTATCTTGAATTTCTTCT